TAAGGTTTGAGGATATAGACATGCCCTAGAACATATAACAGTAAACGTTTTATAATCTACGGTTCGATATCAAATTATTCAGAACTGAAACAACAATTAAAGTTCAACAACCCAAGAAATTAACCAGCATCGGTATTAGACAACTCTTAGTAGAAAAATTTAGTTAAAAAGCAGGCCATGCTGAGCATGGCTAGCATATGTTACTAACAACTTTGTGTAACAATAAATGTCGAGTGTCGAGGATATCGATTTTTCGATTTATTCGTAGCAAGAGCCGGACTTAGCTGCTTCGTGACTAAATTCAAAAATTCTAAGATCACTGAATCAATACTAAGATCAGCTGGTTTTCCTTATTACTACCGGGCTATATCATTCTCATGCCACTAATGTTTTTTCTAGCTCCTAAAATTAAGCGTAATCTAGAGTGGCAAACATGTCAAAATTTATGCAACACAAATTGGAAGAAAAGCTCAACAGATTCAATCAACCAACTACAAAGAAAATAAGAAAAAATAGTAGAACACATGTTCAATATCTCTTTCCACTGGACCGGTTCTGCTAAGATCAGAAGCCATCTTATCAGTTATTGACATAGCCAAAAGCACACTTTAGCAAACTAAAAGCCTAAATCCTCCCCAAAAAAAGGGGATCCAAAAAGGAAAAAGAAAAAGCTAGTTAAGAAATGTTGGAGACAAATTCATCCATTTTCGAAGCCAAATCCTTTCATCCACAAATACCCTTTACTTTTCCCTCCACCCCATAGCTGAACACTAACTTCGACCCTCCAAATCCCATCCAATCTCCGAACAATTGGGATTCTACCATCAAATGAAATTTCACTAACCCAAACTGTACTGTCACTTTTTACACCTGAAAGCAGATGAAGTGAGTAAGAAGAGCAAAGAATAAATTTTTTATCGAGAATCGGATACTCCTCAGATCTGCGCCGTGGAGTTCAAGAACAAAGAGAGAGAGAGCGAAGACAAAAACAACAATGACAGGAAGAGCAAATCTAAAGTGCTGGAAATTGGCTTCTCTTTTATTATAAGTTATGTTATTGATATCGCAGAGGCAAACGATGAATTAAATAAGTAAAATATTGTAAAGAAATGAAGAGGAGAAGAAATCTTACCAGGAGAACAATGAATTTTTTGCAGAGGCTCACGGGGAGAAGAAGATATCGCAGGCAAACGGGAAAAGAAGGGTATTTTAGCCCTTAGAACACGGGAATAAAAGAATACCTAACATGTGTGTGAGAATAACATTCCCAGGAATAAACACACATTGGGAAATAAATATCACCCTCATTTGGGAATCTTACCCAACCAAACATGGGTATCCTTGGTCAGGAAAAAAATATGCCTACCAGGAATCCTAAAATCCTTGATCCAAACGAGCCATTAGGTTACTGTCTGAATCCCGAAATTGCATGTCTAATTTTAACTTATCTTTAATTTAGGTGTCACTTATTTTTAATAATTATTATTAATGTTTTAATTTTTCTTAATATTTATTATTATGAACTCAATTTTTTTCTAATATTTATTATTAGGAGCCTACTAGTATAATTTATTTTTCTAATATTTGTATAAGTGTAATTTTTTGCCAATATTTTTTAACATTTGTTATTTAAAGTCTAATTATTTTCAATACTTACTATTAGGGGCCTAATTTTTTTCAATATTTGTTAGAAGGAGCATACTTTTAAAATTTAATTTCTTTTTTAATATTTATTTGTTATTATGAGTCTATTTTTAGTACTTTTTATTTGAGGTTCAATTTTTTTAATATTTGTTAGTATGGGCATACTCTTAAAATTTATTTTTTAATACATATTATTATGGAGTTACCCTTAAAATTTGTTTTTTTTGCAACACTTGTTATTAGGAACAATTACTTAAATAACGGTTTGTAACCATAACGATAACTGTTATGCACCGATAAAAACATCTCCAAAACCGTAATATCCATAATTTTTATGTCCACCCTAGTATATGTTATTAAAAAATCACAATCATAATACTTGCAGTTGCCACAATATCATGCGTTATGTTCGCAATAGCATAAACACAACGCGATCAACTACATAAATGCAAACTATAACTTAAATCCTTGATTAGGGGCCATTTTTTTTATTCGCCCGAGGACCACCAAAATCTCGAAAACGGATCTGCTTCTACCATACCATTTATTTATTTTCTTAAACTTCACAAATTTCAATTATCATAATAGATAAAAATGTTACAACAAACCAAAAAAACCCTTAACTATGATTATAATAAATAAATTATAAGCAATAAATAAGTTTATTATATCCCGATAAAATGATTGTTTTAAAATAATTTAAGGATAAATTACACTATTACTCACTAAATTTTACTCTATTTCTTATTTTACTCACTGTACTTCAATTTTTTTTCTAATTTGTTTATTGAATTTTACAGATTGAATCATTTTGCTCACTATACTATTAACTTTAAACAATGTTATGATATGACACAAGAATCAAAACAGTGTCGTTTTAAAAATCTCAAATATACACCAAAACGACATCGTTTCGAATCCTCTTTTTTCCCCCATTTTCTCTATACTTTGCAAATAAGGTGACTGGTTGCCGCCTGCAACCACCACATAATTTTTTATTTCGATCACCGTCTACCATCCTTAGTGGTCATTCGGTCCCAAAATTCATGGGTCAGTTCATCCCAAACCCCATGAGTTCGAATATGATGGTTGCGTTCAACGAAAAATATCCTAAAATCCATAAATCTCGATTGAAATATTTCGGCTTCCACACTTTCAATTTCCAATTCGGCAGTGGCATTCGACCACCTTCTGTTTTTATTTTATAGTTAGGTGAACAAAATAGAAGAGAGAATGTAATTTACCCTTTATATTTTCAATTATTTTATATTAAATAATAATAATAAATAACACATCATCACAACGTTAGAGAGAACATAAGAGTGAGCAAAATGATTCAATTTATAAAGTTTAGTGAGCAAATTAGAAAAATTGAAAGTACGGTGAGTAAAATAGGAAAGATAATAAAGTTCAGTGAGGAACGGTATAATTTACCCATAATTTTATTCCGGTTGTTACAGATGAATATGAAATTTTTAGGAGGACGGATATATAAAATTTTAAAGAGAACAAATATATAAAATTTTAAATGACAGAAATATATTATTAATAAAAAATGTAAAAAAAGGAACTAAATTATTTGAAAATTTAAAAATTTTAAAAACCACCTCCCTCACCCACCCGTTTCCTCTTAATCCATCCATATTGATTGATATAATCATAAAATAGACTTCAATTTTGATATGAATGTCAAATTTTCAGATTCGTACACTTGAATTAGAAGAATGGAAATATATCAATATTACTCTTTCTAAAAAACAGTCCATTATCCAAACCAGAGTTTTGTAAACTGCTAGGTCTAACTTCCATGTCATCGGGGAAGAAGATTGCTGTCTGGCCGTCAGACAACCATATCTCCACCATAACAGATCTTAGAGATAACTAAAGCTTAGAGATAGAGGAAATTTCATTAACTTCGCCCCAAATTTCAATACTTCATGATGTTGTTATATGCAATTTTTTTTTGAAGGGTACAATATATTATATACCACAATGAGTAATATGACGTCAGTTGTCATTTTTCAGATAATTAATTAATATTATTGAATTTATTCGGTGATTACATGATAAAAAAGAAAATATTATTTTCCAAATTCAAATAACTACATCCGTAAGATGTAAATTCTAAACAGATAATATTATAATCAAAACTATTCAAAAACTATAACAGTAGTAGATATTTATGTGTTGCAATTAGAGCAGTAAAGAAATTGTTAGATTGTGATTAAGAAAACCAATTACCTGGATCTATGTTTGTTCTTGATTTGCACAAACAAAGGGATTTACGTGAGTTGATAAGGAAAAGGTCCGAAAAAGATAGAAGTTTCGGTTGCAGCCAGCTCCAATGCGGATGTTGTTATATGTAAATTCAAAACATAAAATGAGGCCTTAAAAGAGGCCGAGAAGAAGAGCATTTCAGCCCATTGGACTCCTCTTCGTACTGTTCTTATTTGTATAAACCACAAAGCCAAAATTTATACAAATCAGAAGGGGTTGTTTGGAATTTGAGAGTGAAACAGAATGAGTATCAGCTGCGTCTTGAGGGTTTCTCTGATTGCGCTTCTTCTCACATTAGGTAAGTTCCTTATCCGATCAATTTTTTGCCCATTAATTATACGGTCTCATCATTTCCAGTTCTGATCGTGCTTTTGATTTGATCTTCTTTTTTCTAATTTTTAAGAAATTCAAGCATCAATTGATCATTGGTTTCATTTTTATACACTTCAAATTCCACAGCGAATGCCAAGAAGCCGGGCGATGTGACGGAGCTGCAGATCGGTGTCACAGATTTCTTTTTCCCTTTTTTATTATTCAATTACATTTTTTCGTAGTTATTTGATCGGAGATAAATCAAATTCTGTGAACTGCGTCTCTCCTTAGCTTTAATATCACATATTGTATTACGGAGAATGTTGATCTGAAATACTTCGATTAAATGAGTGTAAATTGAGGATAAAAATTAAAAGTTGAGATTTTAGAGAATTTTACGAACAATTGGATAATACCGTACGTCAATTTATAATGGTTCAAAAGCATTGTCTAAGTGGATTCTACCATATAAGTATATGGTTTAAAACTCTTTAGTATTATTAGACGAGTGTAAATTGATTATTGAATTTTTTTCATAAAAATCTTCTCATTCTCAATTTTTAATCTCATTCAGCAATTTACACTCATCTAATAATCTTAAATCAATTTGAATTTTTTAAATTTTACATAAAATAATTGGATCTTACCTCTCTCTCCTTCTCTCTATATATATCTTGTGTGACAGAGAAATTAGTTTACTGCTATTTCTTGTTTCTGTTTTTCTATTTCTTTTTTGTTCTATTTTCTCTTTGCATTTGTGATCTTATTGTGTGTTTCTTTTCCACAGTACAAAGCCGCTATCATGTGAATTTCAAGCTCATAAAGGTGATAGAGTAAAAATACGCTATCGGGTATGTTTTAATAGCTTCGGCTGGATCATGAGTTTTATATCATATTTCTTGACCCTTAAGCATTAATGACGAATATTTGATTGTGCCTTTCCCCCCAGCCAAACATTTTTGAGGTTTCTATATGTCGATTGGTTTCAACTTTCTATTATGTTCCTTCATTGGATTTTGGAAATTTGCGTTCGATTTTGAATAATTTCATTTACTTTTATTATAACGAGGGTCCACGAACTTGCATAATCTTGTGGGATTTACTTATCGGGATATATATATACACACATGGATTTATGCCTGTTGTGCATTAGTCTATTTCTAATCATTACATAAAGGGTTTAAAAATAAAAATGAAAAGAAATGATTTGATTTGATTTGATTTGATGTGTATTTTAGTGGTTAAGGATATACCGCTCTCAAAACATTTTAGGAGTTGTTTGGATTGTGAAAAAGATTATAATTGGAGGAATTCTTCAAATTTTTAATACTTATGTTTAGATTGGAAAGAAGAGAGTAATACATAATTCTCAATAGTAAAATTTTTTTTTGGATGTTTTATCGGGAATGACATTCTTACTTAGGTTTTTGTCAATTCTCATATATTTTGACTAAAATAGCCTTTGAAACAAAACAAATATTTCAAAAATATCAATCTCTCTTATTGCTCTGATACTATTAAAATTTTTATATTTTTATAGTTAAATGTTAATGTAAAATTTTAAATATTTAAATAAATGATGTAAAAATTAATATTAATTATGATTAAAAATATATAATTTATTTACTCTTTTATTATACTCATTCATCTTTTAAATTTTGTATATATATATATATATATATATATATATATATTTTATGAATTTAAATTTTATAAAAATATATATAAATTAAAAATAATAAAATAATATATTTTATATGAATTTTTGTTTAATATTTTTATTTGAATATTCAAAATTCAACTTGAAACGAAATATATCACAAGGACAATTTAGTAAAATATACACTCCAATAATCTTTTATTCTTTTAATTAAACACTATAATCTTACATTCATGTCAAAAATATCAAACACAATAATGTAACACTCCCAGTAATGTGTCTGATAATGTTACATTTCGGTAATCTTATTCCCAAAAGTAATGTTACATTCCATGAATCAAACACTCCATAATGATTAAATTTTATTAAAGTGTGTGAACCAAATTACTTCCCAAGATAATAAGGAAGAAACTCACTTAAAATATATGTTAAAAATAAGAATCTACAGTGACGAGTGTTGTCGGGTGGGATAAGAAACTCAGTTTGAGTAGATTTATTTCTATACAAGTTATAAACAAGAAACTTATCCCTATATGTAAATATTAGTGATTGAAATTTAGAAGTAAGTTGAATAAATCCTAATCGTGTTTGGAGACAAATCTTTTTGTTCTTATTCGGTATAATGAACTTTATCTTCTTCTCTCTGTTTTTTTAAATAATTTTTCATGTTAAATCTTGATATTTTTTTATGATTATTTTATATTGTTATTGTCATGCTTACGTCATCACAGATTTAATTGTTAACTACATATGAGTTTCTTGGTTTACATAAAATATCATTACATTTTTTTTGCAGGGGAAGCTCACTGATGGAACGGTCTTTGATACCAATTTTGATAGGGGTGATCCCATGGAATTTGAGCTTGGTAGCGGACAAGTAATAGAAGGTGAATTCCCCTTAACAACTAGCCAGCCTTTTGCTGTCACTCCGAAAATGAATCATTTGGTTTACGACCAGACTAGATTGTTCATTATTACATTGCATGGAGGGAGTTTATTGATGCCTGAGAATGGATATGGTGTGTGCAGGATGGGACCAGGGACTGCTGGGGGTGTGCGTTGGTGAGAGGCGCAAGTTGAAAATACCAGCAAAGCTTGGATTTGGTGAAAACCCCCGACCCAGCATCCCAGGTGGAGCAACGCTAATATTTGAAACACAGCTTGTTTCAGTGAATGAGAAACCATCGAGTGGTGGGGATACAACTGACGATGCGTCATTAGCAGATTGGCGATAGCTTCTTCTTATTTTAGTATTTTGGGGCTAGGATTTACTAAATATTTTCATAAGTTGGAGAAAACACTTAGTTGGAGATGAGTTGAATTTAAATGACCGATTAGGATAATAACAGAAGATGGTGGCCATTTTGACAAGCCTCAATTTCAATCTCTAAACGAAGCAACCACTTCCTCAGTTCACGAAAACCGACCATGATACGATTAAAATCCTTTAATTTTTGTTTTATTTTAAAATTAAAAACTTGATTTTACAATTTTGTTTATTACGTTTCTTATGCGGTTATTTACTTATTTTCCAACAAATAATGAAAAATTATTATCTTGGTAATTAGTGGAAAAGCAATTTTTTTAGACGAAAAGATAAAATATATCATGTAACAACCCTATTTTTAAAATAAAAATAAAATAAATTATAAATTAATTTTGGAGACTAAATTGTAAGTTTTTGAAGCTTGTTGCTCGATTTTGAATTTGTAGGAAGTTCATGGATTTAACCCTAAATTTTTTATTTTCTTGTCGGTAAAGAAAAATAAATAAATATGGATTAGGTGGCTGAGGGGTTTCAAACCACTACCCCAAGTAAGGATGCCCATGCCTTAGCTATTAGGCTTGGGTACTGTTTATGATTTTTTTTATTAAATATATATTTTATAGGTTAAGGCTTGAATATAATGCCAAAAAGTCATCCCTATTTTCACTAATCTACCGTCGTCCGATTACCGTTCAGCACACCACTACCCTCATATGTCTCGTCGCCGTTCGGCGACCAAAACCCCTCGGACCGATCATCGAAAGGTGTTGTCGATCATCGTGGAGAAGTAGTTAAAGTTATGTCGAAACCCCCCGGTCGCCTCGGTTAATCGCGATTTCCGGCAGCCACTGTCGTTCGTTTGCCTCACAGTCGGCGTGGTTGGACTCCTCATCGTCGTCCGCTCGAAACTCAACCCTTGGGTCGTAACTTTGCCGCTGTTTTCTTCATCGCCGGTGTGGGTAAGCTCATATTTAAGTTTTCGATGATTTTGGTGAATTTTGTTATGATTTTTGGGTTGATATTGGTTAATTCGAGTGTGTAGATGAATCGGGGATAATCGTTCATCTAAAACGACCCATTTCAAAGCCACACGCACCGCCACGTGCCAACAGTACGCGTGGGGCTTCTCCGCCAGTCCAGGACTCTTCTAGAACCGATCTAGACAGACTGAACCGATCGAGCTAAGTCAACTCACTGAGTCAACCGATTGAGTCAACTCGAATATAGTCAACTCATTGACTGACTGTTGACTTGATCGTTGACTTTGACTAGAGTTGAGTTTGATCAACGTTAACTTCGACCAAAAAGTTAAATTTTCTGAAAAATCATATTTTATGTTTTTAGACGTTCTGAGCCTGAAACAGAAGTCCATTTTATCAAATTCGAACCTGAAAGCCTCTGAATTGACAGTCAAACCTACACATGCATATGTACTTAAGTATTTCATTTAAGAATAATTAAATTAAGGTTAATGACTAGTATAAGATATTGTTATTTGAAGGTACACGAGACTCTCTTGACTGTTCGACGGCTCGACTCAGCTCCTCTTTATCCGTTCGACCTCGCGAGCCAGTGAATACTCGTAAGACCCTTGAACCTTATGAATACTTAGATTAAATTTTACTTTAATATTAACTCAGTTTATTAAGAATTAGGTTCGAGCACTGCTGTAGAGCGTGGCGAGATAGGTACTTAGTAAACTGTCGGCTGATTTCGTTTTGCTAGGTGCGTTCCTTATATGCTATATGATTGTTTTATCTGTTTTTAAATGTGATTTTTCGAAATTAGTAAATCTTTTATCAGCTCGACGTTATGATTTATTATTTTACTGGTTGATCGTTTATGAACTATGACTATTTGATATATGCAATATGATTACTTGTTTTCACTGGAAATATGATTATGCCGATTATGGATCATGGAATTTACTGCTTACTGTGTGAACTGCTTTATTGAGATATTATTTTAGGTAGGATATTAGAGTATGATGGTTCAACTCTGATCAAGCTAATAATTCCTTACGGACCTAAGGCGACCCTTGGGTAGGCTTTAAGGTCCTGAGAAATTTCTTAGGTAGGCTCTTAGGCCCCAAGATGTTCTCTTAGGTTGTCTTCTATACCCAATGGGTATAAGGTAAACCCTTATTGATACAATTATAAGGGAACTGCATTTTGATTTACAGGAGGAAGGTACTTATGAGTTTTAAAATTTACTTGTCTATGACTTTTATGATACTTTACTGAACCATTTCTTAATTATTTTACCCATTTCGTTTTACTTGCACCATGGGAACACATTGAGCTCCCTAGCTCACTCTCCAAACTTTTCCCCTTTTATATATTTTTGGATAAACACTCCTGAGTCAGCACTTGGAGGATCAACACATCACATATAATAATTTTTGTCGTAATTTTTCTATCTTTCAAAATCGCCCTTATTTGGTGACATGTTGTTTTATTTTGTGTTACATGTTTTATGTCGTATTTTGATTTACTACTGATGTACAAGTTATTGGGATATTTGGTTTATGGTTTACTTTCGACATTACATATTTTGTTATACACTTAATATTTTATGTCTTATATTATTTGTTCTAACTTATTTAATATAATTATGATTTAAGTTATTTTAAGATCGTTAATGTAATCCATTAGATCTAATCGTAATATATAGGTTGTGTCTAGGGGTTACATATCAAGATAAAATTTATTTTATTTTATTTAGGTTTATATTTTAATTTTTTAAACATAAAATTTCAATCATTATTAATTTTTTTATCGCTTGTTACTCTATCACTCCCATCTCTAACATCTACAACTTCTTTAATTGAATATTATTTTTAATTCTTGTATCTAATTAGATATTTGCATTTAATTTTTTGTTTAAGAAAAATAATGCATAAATTTGTTTTCTTTGTTCAATTAGTACTTAGTTTTTTTGGGTCCAATTAATTATTACATTTGCACTAAAATATTACTTTTTTTTTATAAAATTTCAAAACCATTTGAATTAGTCTAAGTTTATTCGATCCGCAAGAATTTATATCCTAAATAATCTAATTTGAACAAAGAAAATTCATTTATCATTTTGAACAAAAAAAAACAAATTTAGATATCTAATTGAACAAAAAAAAGTATAAAACTAAACTGTGAAACCCAGAACAAGTACTAATAATGTATATTTACCACCCACGTGGTGGTTAGTTCAAATAATAAGCAGTTTGATATCGTTTAAACATGTATCAAGTTTAAGTTTTTATCTATACAGAAAATTCTTGCTGTAAAACTTACCGACTAAAATTATATGTGTGACATGGATCAGTCCAGATTAATAAGGGTGAAGCCTTGAAACATGAAGAGCAACAAAAAAATATTTACTCGTAAATTTATTAAAAAAGAAAGGGATAAAATAACTTTTAATCCCTAAATTTGACAAAATTCCCAACTTGGTACATAAACATTATGTTCACAAGAGTTTCTGAAACTTCATATCTTTTTATTATTTTGATGATATGATACTGCAAGAGTATCTGTGTGGTACACTCTTATTGAATCATGTCATCAAAAGGACTATAAATGAGAAATGGTTATAAATTTCATGGATTTATGTGGGTTCAGGGAACGAATTAGTAAAAGTTGTCAAGTACTTAAAGTTGTTTTGTCCCAAAAAGAAAAAAAAAACTACAGAAAACTAAATATTATTTTATCGGTTTAATACACTTTTGTGTGTGTCTAAACTATACCTAAAAAAATTATTGGATTCCTAAAGAATTTTTTTACTAACAATAGGTATTTAACGTTTCTAACGTTACATTTTTAGGCGTTTGAACTATAACAACATTAAATTTAGCCGCTATCTGAGACGTATCACACATATAAAATTTCAAAAATTATTTTATTTTAAAAAATTTTAATAAAATTTTACATCTTCTGTTGCTGATTGGCTACCGTCTGTCTGTGACCGTCACCGTTGACGCCATCAAAATCATCTCACCACCACGACGAAAACCCAACCCCATCCACCTTGAAACTATGACGATTGTAGTGAAAAACGCCACGAAGATCGTCGTATTTCTAAGTTTTCATTGTTGTTTTCCAGTAATTTTGACAGCTAAAGTCGTTTGTACGTTACACGACTGTTACTATTGAGTTTCTCGTCCTGCTCCGGATAAAATTCGGCCGGTGGTGACCATTCGTCTTCGACGGTGGGGGATGAGAGGGAGAGAGACTACATGAGGGGATTTGATTTTTTTTTCTTTTTTTTAAATAATATTTTTATTATTTAAAAATTTAAAAATTTTAAAATTTTAAAAATATAACGATATACACCTAAAAGTATAACGGAGAAAAAGTTAAGTGCATATTGGTAGCAAAAAATTCGTTGGACACCAAATCATCTTTTGAGGTATAATTTAAGCGCTAAATAGTGTATTAAGGGCCAATTTGGTACAATTTTAAAAAGTAACTTTTAAAAATACCGTAGAAAAGAGCTTTTAAAAGTGTTGTACAAAAGTATAATTCAAAATTTTACTGTTTGAAATTGATGTTAAAATGTAAGTGTAAAAAGATAAAATACTCATTATAGACATTATGTTGTAAATTTAAAATATAACATTTAAATTATATTTACACTTATACATGGATAATATCAATTTAAACTTTAATAAATTAAAAAAAATATATGAATTATATCAATTTAAATTATAATAAAAATATATTTTTATAATACTTTACTATTAATATTTTAATATAAACCATGAATTTTATTTATTTTTAATTAATTAAAATAAATTATTAAATAATAAGTTATTCTTTAAAGATGTTAGTATTAAATTATTTAAATAAAATGTCAATACATAATTATTAAAATAAATTAGTAATGATAAAATTATAATTTACAAAGTTGAAAAATGAAAAAAACTAGAAATCTTAGGTAAAATCAACCATGTAATGCGGGTGTAATAATTATTTAGGTTTCTAAGGTGACTAAAAAATTAATTAGCAATATATGGTATTTACTATAGTGTTTTAATACTCGTCATTTAGAGGTGATAAATTCTAATAAAATATATTTTTTACGAGAATTTATTACCTAAATGTGACATATTTTAATAAAAAAA